CTGTGAGGGTGGTGAGACACTGGCACAGGTTGCCCAGGGAGGCTGTGGCTGCTCCAACCCTCAGTGTTCATTCCAGGTTGGATGAACCTTGAGCAACCTGCTCTGGTGGGAGGTCTCCCTGCCCAGGGCAGGGGTTGGGGCTGGGTGATCTTTAAGGTCCCTTCCAACCCCTGAACACACACAGGCAGACTCACCTTTGCTTCTGGCGTGACGACTGGTTTGGGAGGGAACTGCACCTCGGTAGCTTTCAGAATGGTGTTCTCCTGCAGAATATCCTGTTGTGACTGGTTGTGACCAAAGGGCTACCAAAAAAAAAAAACCAAACCAACAAACCAGAGAGGAGTTGTTAAAGGTTGGTGACAGGCCTTAAAACCTCATAACACTACTGGTTATCATCACTTGACATCAGCCTTTTTCCAGGCAAGCAGCCCATGAGTGCTGGGAAGGTCCTGCAGATTCCAGCCAGAGGAGCAGGACACACTGAACACAAGGGATCAGGCTGGAACACGTCTGGGTGTCTCTGGCTTGGACTGGAGGGATCTCCACCTGCTTCCAGGCCTTGTAGGTCTGTTACAGCATGTGTCATCCATCTGGGCTGACAGATTCACCCACTCCAGTCTCTGCTGGGCTGTTTCCAGTGTCTGACTGACAGCACAGAGCAGCACAGTGTGTGTCAGCTCTGGTTTGCACAACACTGTAACCAGGCACTCCTGAAAACAAGAGCCCATGGAATCCTTTTCCTTCTCCAGCCTATTCCTCCTGCTGTCACAAAACCAACTACCTTTTCTCACAACAAATCAAGCTTTCCTGATCTAGACCCTTCCCTTCCAACAGCCACCCTGAGATCTTCTAGAGTGGCTCTCTGTACCTACATTTTCCCCCCCCCTAAAACACTTGCAGCCCTCAAGCCCAGTAAAGACTCATGGAGTGGAAACCATCACAAAACAAGACCAGACCAAGTACCTCAGGTGTGTGTGGCCCTGAATGACACACCTGTCCTGCCCACAGCAGCTCAGGGGAACATGTCCAGTGGACAGAGAAGTCATTTCTGAAGGAACTGCCACAAAGAGCAAAACACAACCTAGAACATCCTCCCCACTCCACCAGCATGGACTCTGCCTTGGATCTGCTGCCAAGGAGATGAGGAGGAAGCAGCCAAGCCCAGGGAGAAGGAAGCAGAAGCCAGGGCTGCCTGGCTAAAGGTTTGGGAGACACCACAAAAAAAGGAGTTAAATGCCTTCTTACCTTTCTGCCATAGAGACACTGATAGAAGATGACTCCCACGGACCAGACATCGACCTTATTTGAAATCTTTGGAGGTTCTTTCCCAACCACAAAACATTCTGGTGGCAAATACCTGAGCAGAAGGAAATGACAACAGGTTGAGAAGCATCTCTAAATTCTTTTATTTAGAAAGGAAGGGACAAGCTCCTGTGATCAGATACTGCCTTGGGTCTCTAGGGACTCAACTCCCTTCCTGTTCATCTCTGGGCCAAGATCACCAATGCCTAATCCTTCTGGGAACAGTGATCCCAAGGACACTCCAGGCAGCTGTGTGCTCTGAGCTAGTCAGCACACTCAGTTTCTTTTCACCAGAGCACATCCACCAACCCCATTTCCTTTTATCTCCAGGGCTGGTATTTGTTGTTGAAAGGGCTTGGCCAACAATTCCACAATGGAAACACACAGCCAAAATACATATTTCCAGCAGCACAACCCCAGATGCCACGTCCCAGTTAAGAGACACCACTCAGCCTTGCTCAGGGTAGAGCTGGTTTCGTTCTCAGGAGCAGAGCAAAGCTGCACAAAGCTCCACACACGTTGCCCATGGAGACAGGCTGAGTGACACCTCCAAGTCACAGTCCCTGGCACTCACCATGGGGCTGCTCTCAGCCAGGGTGAGGCAGTGACACTTGGCACTGAGCACAAAGCACTGCTCAAAACCTTTTTCACATGCCACTCCAGTGTGAAGCTCTGGCTGCAGACAGCACTGTCAGAATCACATCTTGTTTAAGAGCTAACTATGGATGTTCACCTCCTCCTCTCAGGGGAATGCTCTTCCCACCTCCTGAGTTTCCAAACAGGTACAGTGTTCTCCTGGTCCTTGTTTGGAGACTGTGCCACTCTGGACTATGAATGAGCAGCCAAGGCCACTCCAGAGCTCACTACCTCAGCAGCATATGCAGCTTTCCACCAGCCCTTTGGCTACGAGACGGTTTTCAAACCCACAAACACTTTTCACTCAAGAGTGAAGAGCTGCCAACCTCCAAAGGAGCTGTGTGACAGCAGGAGCAGTTTGAAGGTCTCAAACCTCCAGGGTCCCAAGCTGGCACAGCCAATGGCAGCACACAGAGCTGTCTGCAGACTGTTCTGATCTCTCTGGCACGTGCCCCGGGCGATGCTCACCAGTAAGTGCCGGCGCCCTGCGATGTCAGCTCCATGCCATCCACAGAGTTGTAGCTGTCATCATCCATGATTTTGGAAAGCCCAAAATCTGTGATTTTTATCTCTCCACATGCAGTACCATTGACTAGAAGAATGTTACCTAAGGCAGAGGACAGAAAGAGCCTTAAGGATATGTGTTTAGCAAGAGAACAACAAGACTAAAAAAATGGCTTTGAACTCTGCATGAGGGTAAGAGACCTGCACTGTGAGCTGCAGCAGCCTGGGGGAGATGACACAATTTTAAGGATCAGAATGGAGTTTAGAGATCATCCAGTCCCAACCCCTGCCCTGGGCAGGGACACCTCCCACCAGAGCAGGTTGCTCAAGGTTCATCCAACCTGGAATGAACACTGAAGGCTGGGGCAGCCACAGCCACAGCCTCCCTGGGCAACCTGTGCCAGTGTCTCACCACCCTCACAGGGAAAACTCCTTCCAAATATCTAACCTAAATTTCCCTCCTTCAATTTGTACCCATTGCCACTTGTCCTGTCCCTGCAGCTCCTAGCAAAAGGTGTTTTAACAGTCAATACTCTGAGCTCCCACCAAGTGCTAGAACTGATCTGTCCATCCTTGAATGACCCAGTGGCCTGATATTACTTGGAGCCTCCAGATCCTAAGCCCTGTAAGCCAAACAAGCTTGATGCCCAGACTGTTTTGACCCCTCCCAAAGGTCCTGTTGGAAGGGCAGGTCAAAAAGGAGGATTAAGGAGAAAAGTACACATACACAGTTATGACTCACTCTGCCCAGAAGTTGTGACTTGCCCTGGCCTCTCTGCAAGCCAGAAACTCTTTCCTTCCTGGCACTGCTCCCCAACGACTTTCTAAGCTCAAAATGGACAATTACTGCTTAGGCAAGAGCCTTTCAGAAATCCATCAAGGATCAAGAAGTCAGATCATCACTGTTTTCCCTCCAAGCCTACAATAAAGCAGCAGAGCTGTTCGTGATGGCAGGAGATGAATCACAGCTCCAGGCAGAGCTCTGCACACACTCAGACATGGCAAGAGCCAGGGAGGAAACAGGGTCACAGCACCAGTGCAACAGCACCATCTCCTGTACACATTCCTCGTGCTGATGCAACAGACCACATCACACACCAGTTACACAATGCTGATGAAGTGCCACCAGCACAGGGAGACAAGCCAGGGAGAACTGCCCAGAGAGATGGATCCATTTCCTGGACTAGCCAGAGTTATGTTGCCAATAGGGCATCACCTGATCCATTTCCTGGACTAGCCAGAGTTACGTTGCCAATGGGGCATCACCCCAGAGCAGCATTTTCCACCTTCCCCTCCTTGTGACTCTGCCCAATGGTAAAGCAAAATCTACCACAGCATTTGGGGAGGATCTTCTCCAGGGCAGATGGAGTCGAATAACTCAAAGGCAGAGCTGAGTAGTTTGTGTCCCTTCAGCTTTGGGAGCTGCCACATGATATGGAATACTGAACACTTCCCAGTTAGCCTCTGCCATCAGAGTTTCAGACAGATGACTACAGAAAGAACCAGCCAGAAGAATGGGAACACAAAGAACTACTAATTGTGGGAACCTTTATGAAGCAAGAACAGAAGCTCTGAGCAGCAAAATACAAGCAGGACATGAAGAAAACAAACAGACACTTGGTGCTTTGAGAGTTTTTCTAAACAAGGAGGCTCCTTTTCCTGGAACATTGCACTTCCCTGTTTTATGTTGCAGTTCTGGGAGACAATACCCTTCCCACAGCCATGTTCTATGTGTTTTAGGGTTGGTTCTTGGTGCCAGTTAGTTTTCCCAGACAGCTCTGTGTCCTTTTTGCTGTCTGGGCAAAGGGAATTTCCCTGTGTCACCTGGAAGCCACTACCTGTGCTTAGCATCCTCAAGCAGTCAGCTAGCAGCACAGCATACCTGGTTTAAGGTCATAGTGTATGATGGGAGGTTTGATTTCGTTTAGGTATTTTAAAGCATTCACAATCTGCATGATGATGGATCGTGCCTCTTTCTCTGACATGAGCTTGTGCTGTTTCAGGTAGAAGTCCAGATCATTCCCCTCACAGTATTCTAACACTGTACAAAACCTGAAAGCAAAACAGGAGTTTGTTGTTGTCATTAGGGCAGCTGATACAAACCAGAACACTTGGTTATTTCTTGTTTGCAATTCACCTATTTGGTCAAGGGATTAAATTAAGAGTCCTTCAGTCCTTCTAAAAATAAGCTACCAGGAGCACAGGCCTCAATGCTCAACAGTACAAAGGTCAGAGATCCCCACTAAAGAGCCAGAACAGAAAGCTGCATTTACCCAGGCCAAAGAACAGGATTTGCCAGTAAAGCACCACATCTGACCCAACACAACACACTGGTTTGTGAGCTGAGTCTCTTAAAAACCAGTGTATGTGGCAACAGCCCCCCAGCTATCCCTGCAGCACAGTGAGGAGATTCTCTGGAGCCTTCTGGAAAGGTTGGAATACTTTGCCTGCAGTGAAAAGGTCAAAGCAAGTGAAAGGACAACAGAACTTACGAGTCAGTATCCAGCGAAAAGTAGTCGTAGAGCTTAACTATTCGAGGGTGATCCAGTTCTTTGTGAATTCTGTACTCTCTACATGCATGTCTGAAAAGAGCAAGGCCTGAGCATTAGTCATACAAGTGGCTCAGCTCTGAGTCCTGCAGACAGAGAACCCAGACAGAGCACACACAGCTCCAGTCAGCCCCGTGCAGATCCCTCACTGCACATGGGAACCACAGAGCCCCAGTGCAGCTCCAGCCCTGGCAATGCTACAGAGCAACTCCTCTTGATTAATGGCACTGCTTGCCAAAAGAGAATAACCTCATCATGAATCCTTCAGGGATCTAAGAGAGCTGAACGCAAACAGCAGCAAGTTCTAGAAGAGTCCTGTGCTGCTCCATGGCCCAACTGCCAGACCCTGGATCCAGCTGGGATTGTCCCAGGGACTGCTGGGGAATTCAGAGCACGGGTCTCTCTTGGACGCTCCGTGGAGCAGGCTTGGCTGCCACTCTGCAGAGCTTGTCTAACCTGTGGCATCAGGGAGCAAAATGCTTGCCCTAACTCCCTCCCAGGCCATGGCACAGCCACAGTCCTCCTCAGCTGGGGAAGGGTCAAGTCTTCCAGGAAACCAAGGGGAGGGGAAGGTTTTCACAGAGCAGGTGTATACCTGGAAGATGGGCATGAAAACTGTTCCCCACCAAACAGCTTAAACATTTC